CACCGGGAAGAAAAGTAACATTTTTCTGGATTTTTTGCTTTATTAAAAGTTGACGTCAGTATTTCTTTCCTCAGCAAAGGAAATTTCCTCAACACCCCATCTTCTTCTGCCATCTGTTTTGTACTAGGTTATGGCAAATAAAGGGGATTTGTATTCCATTCCTATTGTCTAAAAATATCTTGATTTTTTCCCCCAGGATCAATAAAAAAAAGCAGGAGCAAAATCTGTGGCACATCTAGATCATAAAAATTCTAACCCTGGAATACACAGCAGGTGTAGTATTCCATTCATCATGATTTTGGGCAAAGAAATACAGTTTCACAGATAACTTCAATTCTTCTCCCAATTCTGAGGCTAAACTTACAGTTTGGAAAAGGTCAATGCTTGTGCCAAAAAAGCACACTCTGGTACCTGCTGTGTAATTTTAGTCAGTCAACCTCAGTTTTCATTTGCTAATTGCAGGTAATTTGACTCCAAAGACGACTGCTCAAGCAAAGCTGAATTTTGTTCTAAATAGTAGAAATACTGTGAATAAACAAGAAATACATCAGACAATAAAACTTACATTTGACGGTGACCTGAGGCAGTATTTGCCCAGTCAATGTTAATTTATTTCTACTCTTAAGTGAAAGCTGTATTTAGCATTCACCTTTTTAAAAGTATGGGTCAACAAACTGCTACAAAATCATTTCAGTGTTTTTTAGGTTAGAGGAGACTGGGGTTAAAATACCAATGTCTAAATCAAATCCCTAATTTGATACAATAACTTAGGGGCAACAAGAGGCAAATTATAACCAAATGTGATCCCATTATAAATTAAAAAAATTCTACTGCATTCTCAGATATCAGACTGAAAACACTTAAGTCTATAAAATATTTCTAACAATGAATTTCCAACAAGCAAAGCTAACACAGAGCAATTATTCAAATGAAAGTCAAAAGAAGTCATCCACATATTTTACTCTCACAGGTAGCTGCCACTGTATGTTGATGTTTATTCAGCACAAAATTATTTATCAGTAGAACAACTTAGTAGAACTGCAAACCCCTTCAGCAAGTCTCTGAAAAACTAAGATGGCACCGCAACAAGTAGAACTACTACCATGAACCATGGAAGCTGAAAGTATGCTTTCTTCTCGAAGTATGTTTGCACTTGTGATGACAAAGAGGACAAACTTACGGTTTTTTTAACTGAGCAGTGGGTAATACACACTTTAGGAACTCAGAGTTGAAAATTATCTGGAAAAGCTGATACCCACTCATTAAAAAAGTACTTCAAGCCATTAAGACAAAGCACTTCAATACTTACCAAAACTAAATAATATCTACATTATCAATAATGGGAACAGTTTTATTTCTGCTTTTCGTATCAGGCAGATCTATATAGACCTGAGCATTTTGTCCTTTATCCTTTCAACAACAAAATATCTTAAATTCACTCTCAACTAGTATCTGCTACATCATTGTAGTACATGGTCCTATAAATTTAATTATTTTGCTTCTTTACTTCACTCCACATCACATCCACAACAATTTTTTGCTTATCATAATAACAAAACAAAGACAACCAAAGAACAAAACCTTCACATACTGTACCTGCAAAGCACAGTTCATCATTCGCACAATGTAGTCAAACTGCTGATGGTCCAGTATTGCTCGATTTTGTTTAACATGCAGGCCTAATTCCTGTGTCAGGCAGTGTCGAGCTGCCTTTCCTTTTAGGGCTCTCAGAGCTGCAGGCAGAGTCTGGAGACAAGAAAATCTAACTTTATGAAAATGAAATTAAATGGCACTATTCATACTGAATATCATTCATTCTTTATTAAGAAACTGCAAGTGATAGTATAGCAAAGAATAACCTTGGAAATGACTCATTAGCTTGAATATCAAACTTTCACATAATGGTTGATTTAGCTTGAGCCATTAAGTATTAAATTTTTCCCATGTTTTTTTCAAATGCATTAAACAGCATTTCTCACCTACACCTGTAAATAGAAATGATTGAATACAGACAGGCATTCAATGGATGTAAAATCAGAAATGGATTACTGTGCATGAAAGCAGGTCTCGAGTTAGCATATCAAGGCCAACCAGCATGTTTTTTGATAAGTAGTGAATGACAAATGGTTTTAGAAGTGGCATACCTCTCATAGCAATGAGGCCACAAAACTGTTATGCAGTTTACACTAAAACAGTGCCAACAAACTATTTATGCCAACGTTTTAAAGATGCAGCAAGTGCTTCATCAGTGATTACCAACTGTGGCCCTTTAGACTACATTTAATTAGTGATACAGATAAATAAGAAAAGCAAGCCTGCTGTCTAAGGACAAATTTACCATGCATGGGGACAAAAAACTACTGAAATTTTCCAAGTGTCTGTGAGTTGAAAGAGGTTAAAAACTACTGTGTTATGCATCAAAACTCTTTAAAGAGAGATACATATTTTATTAGCACTTTTCCCCTTTGCATTTCCATAACATAACTTGTAAATCAAGAAATGCTCATTTTCTATCCTGAGCTGCACAGCCTCAGGGATATACAGGTGACACTTTTCTGAGAATTGAAGAAAATTCTTAAAATAATTTTACAGTCATTTTCATATGTAGAATTAGATTTGAGTGTAAGTTCGAGTGATTGTTCTAGAATCAATAATTAAAAATTCTATGGAGAGAATCTACAAAACCTGGCAAATTCTTATTGTGAAAAAATCAGAATGTCAAGGATGAAAATTCACTAGTACATTTTAGTGAAGACAAACATGCCAAATATTTACATTCACATCTGAGTTCTATCAATAATTGATTTTTAAAACCAGTAAAATTTACTGTACTGAAAATTTCAAAAGAGTATTGGTTGATAAACACTGAAACATCTATGCATGCCTTTTGTTTATGTTCCTCCTAATCAATACTGCTAGACCAATACACACATCTTTTAAAAAAAAAATTGTGGACAATACTATTTATAATGGTAATATAAATTAGCAAAAAGGGCTCTCACACACATAGTGTACACACTCATGTAGTATTACAAACAATTTTTCAAATCCATTAGTTGCATATTACATACAGTATTGCATTTAGATTATTAGTTTTATTGCTTTCTTCATTCATTTAAATGGTTAAAATAATCATTAGTATTTGAAACAAGACTTCAAAATGTACTTTTGGACAAGGTCAGTCTCTCTTCGCTCATTAACAGAACAGAGGCTTATTTGGGAAAATTAAAATTTTATTTTATTACCTTTTCAGTCTCCAAAAATTTGTTTTCAAAAATGAATGAGATGCAGTTTCTAACAACTTCCAGCCTTTGTGCACTGTTGAAAACTGTGCTTCCTTTTTCCAATATGGAAACTAGCAAAAAAAAAAAAAAAAGAAGAATATGCATCTGTGAAATGTCTTCTGCAAGAGCCACAAAGAATACCAGAAAGTTGTTTTTTAGAAGAAAAATACTGTGCTCTCCATTTTGTTATGTTAAGCAAATACCACTAGTATGCATATACAAACAGGAACATAAGATCCTAAATCTTTGGTTTTCCTATACTACCTGAAGAATAGAGTGCTCTGAGTTTTAACTAGAGTAGTTGATTCTCTTTACTGCTTGTTCTATTTGTCTCATACAGGCACAAAGAGATTCCAACCACTAATATACTAATGAAATATATAAATAAAAACAAATTAATTAAAAAATATTATGAGTGTGCATGCGCGCACATGTGTTCTGCAGCGAACTACATAGCCTTGCATATTTTGTAGCAGCAGATAATTGTTTTTTCCTAAAGAATTCATTGGCCATGCCAAGAATTCTGAGACACGGAACAAAACCTGACAAACCTGTTTCTTTTATCTAGATTCCAATCTGCTGAGATCTAAAGATTATCTTCTTATTTTCAAGAAATTTCAGAATGGAAGAACTAACATTCTCTTTTTCTCTTTAGTATCAAGTAAATAGAATATAAAAGCAGAATATGCCCTTCTTGTGGATAATGATGAGCTTCTAAAACCCAAGGATTTTGACACACAGGACAGCAGGGAATGTGAGTGTGAAAAAGCTATTCCTTGGGAGGGGTGGAAAAAAAACAAAAACCAAAAAACCCTTTGACATTAAAATTAATTTATTAAGAAAACCACCTCTTGCATCTAGCCTGTTAAAGACAACAGAACACAAGCACATACCCTTTAAATTTTCTGTAAGTAACAGATTCAATGAGATAGTCAACAGTAAAGGCAGGCGAATAGAGTTTATCCTCTTCTTACAGAAACCCAAAGGAAACAGGGCTGGAAGGGGCCTCCAGAGGCCATCTAGTTCATCCTGCTGTCCCTAGACAGGATCAACTGTATTTATGTTATTTCTCATGTTTGTCTAATAGGTTCCCAAAGTACTGTGATAACACAGACTCCATGGCTTCACAAGGAATCCATTCTACTGCCTCACAATCCTCATTTTACCAAGTTTTTCCTGACAAGTAACTCTAGATTTGTGCTTCGATTAAACCCATTATTTCTTATCACTACAGATCATTCCCTTTCTTTTTTTAATAGCCTCTCATGTTACTGAAGATTGCTATTACGCGCTCCCTCAGTCTTCTATTTTTCAGTCTAAACAACTCTCCATCGTTCCTCGTACGTCACATTCTCCAGACCGCTGGTCATTCTTGTTGCTTTCTTCTGGACTCCCTCCAATAGAACCAAAAATGGAGACAGTCTTCCAGCATCCAAAAATGGATACAAACAGTCTAGCTGAGGTCTTGCCGAGTACAACAAAAGGATTTCTCCATGGGCTTCACTGACTGTACTCCTGTTTATACATCCTACTAAGATGTTTGTCTCTTTTGCAATAGCTTGATATAGTTGGGTCATGTTTGCCCTATGAACATTATAATGCCCAAATTAATTTCTGAAGAACTGTTGCCTAGTCAACTGATCAAGTCTATGCAAGTGCAATACCTTATTTGAAGAAAATCAGTAGAGAACGACAAAATTCAACACAGACGGGAGACTAGATCTCTAATTTTTCAATACTGATTTGAATTCTAATGACATCCTTCAAAAGTTTTGCAAGCTCTGCCAGCTTCATGAGTCCTGCAAGTTTATTAAACATACTTGTTTACGCCAAGTTCACATTGATGTGAATTTTTCTGGCATTAAAATTAAATCAACAAGCCTACAATGTCTACATCTGTTCTTTATATTTAAATATAGGTATTTTTATTTTGACACAGATGCTATGTTTGCTCCTTCCCTTTTCCCAGTAATCTTCCAGTAATTTGCATGTCTTCCACTAGTGCCAAAGGAGAAAGCCTAACAGTTCAAAGCTTGGTTCAGTCAGTCCTACAAGTAACTTACAGTGATATTCATCAGACCTAGATTACTAGACAATACCCAATCTAATAGTTCAGTCTAACTCAGATCAAATCCTTTTTTGTTGTTAGTAATTATGCTACTCACAGTCTGGATGTTTGACTTCTTAGTAAAGACTGATGCAAAAGGACTTTTAAAATTGCAAAGGCAAACAGCCAAGTCTATGTACTAAAGGTTGCTATGATCGCTAAAAATACTGTACTAACATGAAATTGGGAGCAACACATTGCAGCCATGCTAATTATATATTCAACTTATGAGACAGGATGACAAATAGGTAAGGCAGGGAACAAGTAAACATACCAACAGGGGGACCTGCTGGAACGACACACTTCTTGTCGCCCCGGGTGGCAGGAGGGGCACCCTGACTCCTTGCGAGGCCTTCCTGGATGAGCTCCTGCACCCGGCACTCATTGATCCGGGGGAAAGGGAGGATGTGAACCCGCAAGTGGGAGCCCTCTGTGGGTCGCGGCACTTTCTGGAATGCTATGTGGGGATTTGGATTCTCCTGCAGGTCAAAAGCAAAAGGTTACACTCAGTTGTGTTATGTAATGCTACCATCTGTCTCATCCAGTTTTATTGCTGTTTTGTGTATCTGTCATACCTGAAAGATTAAGAAGCCAAGTACCTAATGCAGCCAACTAGTATCAAGTTTCATATTCATATCACCCTTGATTCATTATCTATAATACTTCCAACCTTGTTAAAGGTTTTTATAAAATTATTTGTCAACATGCAAAATTCAAAAAGAAAGCAAGCAAAAAGAAAATCACTGCTTAACTTAGGTTGATTTTATGCAGTTTAATGAATATTAGGACTTGAATAGAAATTAGTTTGACAATCAACCTCTTCATTAGAGAGAGGGTTGAGGAACATTAAAACATACAATCTCTTCACCAAGTACTGAGAAATATTCTCATCTTGATCAAGACTACAAAGGGAAAATTCATTTTTGTACTATGTTGTATCAAAATACAGCCATGCCTCATTAAGGACCAATTTTCTGTCTTCTGTATGCCCCTATATAAGTGAACATAGGTGATCAAACAGAATAAATGATGGGCCTGAATTTCAAGGAAAGTAAAAAGAAGCTGACACATCAGATTCTGTGGTGCTCTCAAAGACTATCAGAATTTCCACTGTGAAAATAAATGTTTGCCTACAATGACTTTTCACTCGCTCCTTTAAAGTCTTTGTTTTCTTTTCCTTTAGAAGAAAATGTAATAAGCACCCCTAAAGAAAGCTTTTATCCTTGTTTTCAGATTTTCTTGCAGAGGTCTTCAGGATTAAAAAAAACTTAAAAAATCTATTTCACATTGCAGACCACTGACTTATTTGTTTTGCCAAAATAATTGCTGCATCTGCTACTATGTAATTATTATGATTTTTGTCTTGATCTCCACATTATCATATAATACTGCATTTAGTATGAAGACATTAGCATGAAGACATTAGCAAAATACGCCCTGTACCATACAACAGAGATGTGACTGTACATGGGATATTTGAAGACTTGCTGTATGTAGGTAAACTCTGTTGGCGTTTGTCAATATCAGATGCAGTATCAGTGCAATATGTGTTCCTGTACGCGGACATGCATCTTCTGCATCTGGTGTTCAGCAACTGGAAAGACCATATACATCACAAACCACTAAGTTTCACTCAACTGCCTCCACACTGATTTCAGCTTGTTTAAAACACACTTTCCAGAAAGACATCCTGAAGAGAGCAAGATATGAAAATTCACCATTTCTTTTATTTTTTTTTCCTCAAATGGTTGATAATCTTTCCAGTTTGGCTTTTTTTTCTGGCTTCAGGTTGTATGTTTTCCAAAACACAGTCAAGATCTACATGTTCCACAAGAATTCCACCACTATTCACAGGATCACCTCTCACATCTTGAGGAGTGCAATGATCAGTCAAATAAAACAGGCTATTTTCAACTCTTCATTCATATACCAGGGGTTATCATTAATCATGTTTGAATTTACTGTTACACAATTCGACTTTATGCTGTTACGTATTACTGGCTATATAGCTCTGCCAAAGAGTTCTACTCAATCAACTACATTTCTGTTGTACGGGCACAACTAGCTTGCAATAAAACTCGTAAACAGGAGCTAGTTTGATACTTTCATTTACTAGAGCAAAAGGCAACAAGGAGATCAAATGCATCAACTTGAGAAATATCAGTCAAAACAAACCAGCTACTTAGCCATACAAATTGTCTGCAGAGGAGAGTTTAATGAAACAAGCCAAAAATCTAGCTAGGGGGATGAGAGAGCAGCAGATGCCAGGAGAAGCAATGCAGAAAAAGGGAACACAATCTCAGCAGGGGGTAACAGATGACATATAGCAGAAAAAGCCAGGAAGGGAGAATAACTATTCCACTTTCCATTTCATGGAGAAGACAGATCCAGAGGAAAGATACAGAAAGAATTACTTTAATCTTGGCCATCACAAACCTAATCCCAGCTGTACATGCTATTAGGAATGTAGGTCTAATGGCTTCAACTACTGAAGCAGTATATGCCAAAAACTTTTCTAGATTTTCCACTTGTATCAGCTAGGCTAATATAAGCATTATCTCTCTCTAACAAACCTTGTCTCTGATATGTATCTAGACTGCCACAGCTACAACATGATGACTATTTAAACTGTGGCATAAGATGTCAAAATACATCACGCAGGGAGTTTAAAATCAGGCAGCTTCAGGTGTAACTTATAGAAGCAATGTTACTCATCACAGTGCTTTATTCAATGATAGCTGTATGCGTAACTACTAAAAATCTGACTTTTAAATACACTAAGTCATTGACTTAGTAGTAGTGAAGTAGCAAGTCAATCACAATGTTATAAATAAATTTCATCATAAGAAAAGACTAAAATGAATTAGTTTTGACACTGATTTTAAGAAATAATGTAAGTGAAAAGTTGCAAATATGCACATTCACTTACACTTTACAGGCTCTTTCATTTGAAAAAGGATCTACATCCACTAGAAAACGAATACAAATGTTTGCCATTTCCTTTGGAGTAATTTAGTATAATAATAACAATTATATTGTTTGAAGCAATTTCCCATATTTATGGGATACTACCACAATAATTATATGCTTATAATTTGGAGCTGGAAAATGCACATTGCTATACACAGCACAACTACTAAATTAGTAGCAGAGAATTTAGTATTTATTCAGAAGTTTTTATTTCCGATTTAGCTCATTCAGAAGATGATTCCATCAGTATTTATCATTAAGAGAGTGCTATAGGATGAGAAGGTATACTGTGGAATAAATAATATTTTATTACAGATGAAATCTCATGGATGGAATGAACCTACGTAACAAAAATACTGATGCCTGATGTTTCTCTTCATTTTCGACAAGATACATTCTCTTACTGTAAGTCTGAAGTGTCAGTGTAAGGATATCAGTGTTAAGATACTCCAGGAAGTATGTCATACCATACACAGACAAGAGGCAGCATTTCAAACACATTTTTAAATGTGAAATGGTTTTAGTCCACAATGATGTATTTGCTCTCTCTTATAATGACTACTATCAACAAGGTAGATTAAAATATGTATCAATTCTTTCCTTCAAAAAAGTGTAACAGTCTTTTAGCAATTTCAGAGAAAAAGACGGATTCAGCATGTGAGTCAGTGAGCGTATCTGCAGACACGCAAAGTCTGCAACTAAGGACAATATTAAAGTCAGACTAACCTCATTTAACACACCTTACTATTCACACATTCCATTTACTTGAAATACATAGATTTATTTTTCCATCCAAAATCTACCTACATAAAAGATTGCTGAATGCACTGGTGGTAAAATTTTGGATTTCCTATGGAAAAGATACTAATTTTATCCCAAACACAGATTCCATTGACAGTGATGAAATCCTTAAAGGCAATTCATTTTGGAAAAACAAAGTCACACACACCACCAACAAAAAAAAAAACCAAACACCCCAAAACTTTGCACTACTTAGTAATTCTTGTGGTTTTGTGTTTGTTTTTTTTTAGAAGTGTAGGTGTAAATCATAGATTTGGGGAAGTGGGATATCGAAATGAAAGGGTGATAGGGGTGTTAACCCACTGCATAACACATATTGTTCTGTGGAGTCTGAACAACCACAGGAAGGGAGAGGAGGAGATTAGCTGATGCCAAAAAAATAAAAAGGAAATAAACCAATAAAGAAAACCCCCAAAACTCGCTAATGGAATGGTAAGAGATTTTACAAAAGCACCATGTAACATAAAGGCATGATAGGAAGGCAAGAATGAAACTGGAAACAGTATTCTAGGAAACCTAAAGAGTCCAAGAAACAAGCTGTAAGAAATTAAATAATGCTTGCTGAGCACAGAAACCATGGGGACTGAGTTGGCACAGCAGGAAAGATCTGCTGAAAGTATGTATTATGCCAAACTGGATGTACAGTTTTCATATGGAAAATTGTTGAGAGGCAAGAAGAGAGATGTATTTTGGCATGGACAGGTTGCAGCAGAGAAAATAACAGTTTATATACATTATGTGAATGGACACTAAGAAAATAGAATGCTAAGTAGCAGCAGTTACTAGGTAAATCAATATTAGTATAGTAACTTCCTTCACAGGTACAAAATTGTTGACATTTAAAGTTCCAAAGTATTTTGTCATAATGTAGATGATGACTACCACAAGCAGTCATTTCCATTTTTGGATACTGGATCAAGTTCAGAAATGTGAATTTTCAAGGTTACTATCTCAACTCTCAAAGTGCAGCAGGTATAGACATACAGTAAACTTACATTTTTGAAGAGCTGTTCTGCAAGTTCTCTAACATGCTTTATAATTTTTGGTGGATTACCTTCTTCAGCTTTAATTCTTTCGACTTCAAAGGCTACCAACTTTAAAAAATAAAAGAATAAAAATATTTATAATTCAACTAAAAATAACTTTTCCTATTTAAATTATGAAATGTTAACCTTAAATTGAAACTGAACAAGAAAACCTAACACTGAAAAATGTGCAATGTCACATTGCTCTGGAACATGTGACACTTTCACTTTCTTGTAGAGCTTCTGTGACCAGATTTTATAGTCCTACCTAATAGAGAAAGTCCTATATACCTCAAACATTCCTTTAACATTTCTAATACCATAATTCATATTTCTCATATATTCTACTACTATGTAGAATTAACACCAAACTCTATTTGCACTCTAAATTCAAATAAAAGTCAGCACAGTACAAATATGGCAATACTTTTCAAAAGAAAAAAACGTTTGTCCCAGTTTATATTGTTGAGTATGTATTTAATTTAATATTTCTCAATTCCTTTTTCAATGTTTCTAAGAATATAATTAAATTAAAATAATTCTGTACTGGCACATGTGATGCATTATTAAGTTCCAAACCCGACAATAGGAACAGCTTACCATGATTTAAACAATTGTTTAACTTCACACATATGAGCAGGGCATGATTTTATGGAAGTAAGCTCAAAATGTATGCTTAGTAGAAAATGAGAATTGAGAAGATTAGTATAAACTTTACGTAACAAACAGTGAGGATTCAGAAGCATTTCAATAGATTTTCACATGCTGAAATGTCATAGGTACTTTTGAATTTACTTGGGAATATAGAAACAATCTTCACCTCATCAAAAAGATCACAGGCTCTGAAAGGAGGACCCCTCTCTGACACAAAACCAGCAAATGCCATTCCATTGAGAACTTTGGTTAGAAAGTCATTCTCAATTAAGCCTCGCTGCCCCAAGAAGGCTGCCTGCAATAAAGATAGAAAAAAATGTATGTATTTTATCAGTATCAAAACTACAACCAAATATTTATGTACTAGCAGTTAAACATTTTCACCAGCTTATAGCAATATGTGGTAATTTCTAATTAAATTTTTTACATTACCTAGTATCTCTTTCTACCTGAATTCAGGAGTGATGTAACAGGAAGTTTGATGCACACATTTTATAAATCTCACAAGTAATAAAATAGAAAACTAGTACTTTTAAGTATCGTCTTCTAACTACATATGTATGTTCTCAAAATTCCATAATGATTCCTCAAACATTTTTTTGTATTAAATTTTAATGTTAACTTCATTTCATGTTTCATCACTGTTCCCACAATTAGTTCCAATAAAATGCATTTATATACTTCTATGTCAAAATTATATGCTTATCATGTCTAGATTACTTTATTTTTTTTAAACTTTAACACTTGTTCAAAACACAAGCTCATGGGAATAACATGACACAAACAAATATATATAAATATACCTAACTGCTTCTCTTTTACCTTATGGAAATGAATTACTGGTTCAGCATGAATTCTGATCAGCTGAAGACATGACCGGTATCCTTGGAAAAGTTGTGCAAATAGCCTAAGGAAGATTGCTCGCACTTCTTTATCCTGTAAGCAGTAATTGAATATGCTGTCAAAACATTTTTGCATTCTAAACTTTTCCGCAGTTTGTATCAAGCTATCTGAGAGATGCCTACAAATTCATCAAACAATGCAGCAATGTAGCACAGAAGTGGAGATACCCGTACACATATGAAGTTATCTTCATATGACCTGTGCGCAGATGGCAATGACAGATTTAGCACATATTCACCCATTTTCTCCTACTGCTCTTTTCTATGCCTATACAACAGGCTCTGGGAAACGCAAGTGTAACTGTTGGGATGGTCACATGGTAAGCCACACGAGGGAACTGCCGTGACAGAAAACTGATGCTAAATAAAGGAAAGAGGTATTTTAGCCTGGATTTAGTCCCTAAAATAAATGTGGCTCTGCAGCATTACACAAGCAGTGCCATTGGAGCGGGCAGGGACGGCAGGGAACCACAGCAGCCTAAGCTGGCATTGCTGCTGCTGGAGGAACCAGGCTCAAAACATCACAGGTATCATCGTCATCAGCCTCTGTGGCTCTGCCAGCTCAGGAGACTGCTCTTCACTTGCCAATCTACTGCAGCCAAAATAAGCCAGGGTTAGTTTAAAGAGTTGAAAACAGATCTTTAAACTCCTGGTTTATTTTGATTTAAATGAGTAAGGGAGTGCTTACATAAACATTGATAGATTAATGGAAATTATCTGAACAGTTGAGGGGAGATTTGGGGCAGTGACATCTTCAAATCCTGTGTCACTCGTTATTTTATCTTAGCTCAGGTACGTACTGCAGCCAGGTCTAAAATCTGAGGTCCTAAAAATTGTTTTATGACCTTTTAAACAAACACTAAATTTAAAAGTTGTAAGCAGCAAAGAATATTAGATTAACTAATCAGGTAAACAGCTGATCTGTTAATCAACAATTAAATACAACCTAAATAAGTTAAAGCTTGTAATGATTTTTTTAAAGAAGTAAGTTTAAGTATATATAAGATTCTATAAAGCTGTCCTTTTGGAATTTTTTTCTAGATGTTTGTTTATTCTTCACTGGAACATGATCAATGTTATTCTATTTTTAACTTAATTTTGTAAGGGCTCACTTCACTGAGAGATATTCTTATTTTCTTTGTGTCCAGGCTGCTTTCTAGGACTTTAACAGGTACATTTGCACCTCAACTTTTTGGACTACTTGAAAACACGGTCATTTCTTTCAGATTTAACAAAATTCTTATTTTGATACAAAATTATATTCATTTATAACTTCATTATTCAAAGTGAGATCTTAGCTGAATTCTGCCATTAGTTTAAATGAAATCTGCATGTCATTTCCTGTCTTCAGTAATGAAAAAAACAAACAATCTTAAAGCAAGAAATAAGTGATACAATGTATTTGTTGTTCTTAAGAGTTTTATGTTTTCGAATACACCTACAAAACAACCCCAATGTTAATGTTTCTGAACCTTTTTTTTCCCCCTTTTTTTTCAGGGAGGGGTGTGGGTGTGTGTGTGCTGTCTATAAGAGAAACTAATTTTAACATTTTCACAAACACACAAGAAGACCAGTTTGTCCACCCATGTAAAATTTTACAGCTTTACTGGTCTACAAGACAGAGGAGGCACAGATTTAACTCACAGACAGCAATATTAAAACAAGGTGCTTCCACATTAAAACAAATATGTTTATAAAAACTTCTAACCTATTAGAATGCTATTAGAGGACATAATGCAAAGTCCAATGGCATTTCTTTTCTCCACCAATAATACTATAAAGAATATGGATATGGAAAATAAAACACAAAGTGGAAATTCTTAAGAGAATGTTAGTTTAAATTTTCAACAGTTTTCTACTTAAGAAAGTCAGACATAACACAGAAATCTTACCAGCATTTTTGAGTGTGATAAAGCTGTTCGTGGGGGAGGGAATGCATAATCTGCTGTTTCCAAATCAGGATGCAAAACCTAGAGAATTTTTTAAACAAAATTTTTTCCCTCATTTTGCTGAGGAAAGGGTAAATTACTTTTTTTCTTCTTTCTCAAATTAATATTCACTGATAGTAAGTACCTCAACAGGTTGAGTTAAATTATGAAGACTGCACGGAAATAAAGGTAGGATTAATTTCTCAGCTTCAGGTTTCTATAAGTGAGCTAGTTATCAAAACCTCCTATTACAGTCAATGAAGCTAGTCAATACAGTTAGGGATTTTAGAGTTGATTCATCTGAAACAGATTAACAGACAGAAAATTCTTCTCTTTAAAATCAGAAGATTTGTCCAGAAGTGTCCAAATTAGGTGATTTCTAACTTATGGCAATGATGGTAAAAAGATAAACTGAATTACTTTTTTCAGCAATCCCTAATGTAGAATCATTCATTCTAGAATGTACAGTTGAAATGAATTTATAAAAACAGAAAAGAAGCTAAATTGAACAGTAACAAGGCTGCTCAAATACTGAGGTTGAACTCTTATTAAAAATTCATTATTAGGAAGGAAAAAAATCACTATCTACGTCTTGAACAGTGAAAAAAACATTTAAGCAGTAAATTACTGATTATATTAACCCTAACTTCAGACAATAAATTCTTCTAAAAACAGGAATGTTGGCATGAATCACAGTTTTAAATCTCACTTTTCCAGTGTGTTTGAAAGTGATTTAATAATGAATTAATTTTACATTTTTTTAAAAATAGGTGAGAAGGTGGAACAGGGGGTATCTATCAAAACATACTAGAGAAAGCGCCATTTGAGTCTGATGAAGCAGCGGCTCTGGCAGCTGAGAAAGATGAATACATTCAGGAATTTTAATTGTGCCTCCATCCAGGTCTGCTATGATTACATCTAACTGTAAGGGACAAACAAACACATTATTGGTAGAGTATACTGTGAGCATAAGTTAAAATAAACAAATTAAAACAGTACTAACTTTAATATATGTAATGCTTTTGATAAAGGAAATTTTCCAAATATTTCATATTTCTGAATCAAGCCACGAAAAATGAATGTAAACCAAAGAAAGTGAAATGAGGCCAAACTTTCAAGTGTGACTTTTATTTCTGGATGTTCCATCTATGTTCAGTGATTTGAGCTATCTAATAGGCTGTTTGCAAACGGATATGGTGAGGACAACTGTAAGTAAAATTATGTGTTTCTAGCCGACTCTGTAACCCTGGTTCAGTTTCTCCAAGTACATGCTTAAAAAGTAAGAATAAAATAAAATAATTGATGGTACATTTGAAAATCCTAAGTGAATTGTTTAAAGTCATGACAAACACGAGAAAGCTGGAAATGAATCTATTCCTTCCAATCCTGCACTAGAGTCAAATAATTTCCCTCCTCTACTTCATAGTCTCAATGTATTTACATAAGAATTGATGCTTTTTCTTTTTTCTCCTCCTGATTGTCTTGCCTTGCTTTCTCCAATACTATTTTAGATGTATATGAATTGTTCACATAAACATCTATGAAGCATGGAAAATCTCTGCAACTAAATACCACAAATCATATTGTGACTATGAATATGCTGGGTAAACATACTTACAAGCTCATGAATGTCATTGCGAAAGACAGAATGTACGCCAATTATAAAAGGTGTTGGTGAGCTGAGAACCTCCAATAGCTGTGCAGGAAGAATTGGAATATAGGGATAACTGTGAAAAAAATAAATAAAATCAAAGCTTCTGACTATCCTTGCATACAGGGCTGGTTTTTTCTTAAAAAAAATAAATCTTCCTGTTATGTATTAAATTTACTATAAATATCTGTATTTTAAAAATACAAAATTATTAACTAAATACTTCTTTATTAAGCGCCATGCTGTTAAAAGAACATCAATCATGTAAACTCCAAAAATTATTATATTATAGAGTCTACATTTTCTTGTAAACAAGTGTATTTTGCAAAAAGAAACCTACTCATATTTGAATTATGTTACATGGACATTATGTTTGTCCACAACTTTTAGGCAACCAGGGGCACTAAAGTTATGGATAATACCTTCATTTTAAAAGCATGGCTATTTTTTTGTCAGATACCTACAATTCAGCCTTTTGTAAAATATCACTAATTAAAAAAAAAAAATCTTTAAATGAAATTTTTTGCATTGATATTGAAATGACAACTAACCATTATGTATAGAACACTGCATTTCAGATATTGTTTACTTAATCTGACAATTAAAAAAAAATGTCAGAGCAACATGAAAATCTGGATCTAAATTGATCAATGAATTACAACACCTAATTATAGTTATTAAAAATTTACATTCATGACTATTTTATCATTAACAAACATATTCCAAAACTCACTTTCAATTTTTTTCCTTCTTATTCTATATTAAAATGAAGCCCATCTCTGAAATATTATTAAACATGTTAAATACATATTAAAATATAAGCATGTTTTGAAACAGATGAGTCAGAATTAGGTATCTTCTTCATAAAAAAAAAATAATCAAATAGCTTGGCATTAAGTGTTCCATTTCAAAACTCTGGATTCAGATGTGGTTTTTTAGAGAGGATCAATTTGTTGACTTAAATTCATTCTCTGTTGGACATTTGTCAGAGACTTAAAACTGTGATACAAGCTAATGTAGCTGTTATCCTAGAACCACAGAATGTTTTGGGTTGTAAAGGGCCCTCCTAGGAGATCATTTAGTCCAATGTACTGCTCAAAGCAGGGTCAAGACTGAATCCGGATCAAGCTATCCTGGGCTCTGTCCAGCTGGGTCCTGAAAACCTACAGGGATGGAAGTTCCATAGGCTCTCTGTTCCACTGCTTAGTTATCCTCATAAAAAACATGTTTTCCCTGCACACAGTCAGAAACTGCCCTCTCCCCTGTTTTGGTTTATGACCCCAATCTCTTGTTCTCCTGCCATGCACCTCCTCTTACTGACTGGTAGGCTGTTATTAGATCTTCCCCATATCTTCTCCATGCATGTACTCATGGATCATCACTGTCAAGTTTTACCATCCAACTGATGTTGCGAGTAGGGTTTCTATTGTGTTTGTAGGTAGGATGTTTCTCCTTTAATTGTTTCCACTGTCAGATTTTTATTATTACGCAATCAGACTTTTATCAATGATGCGTACAGACTACGACTTGTATATATAATAATGAAAACCTTTATTTGAACAAACATAGCACAAGTCCTTTTGTTAAGGACAATGTAATGTAGATTATAAAATGAGTTATAAAATTAATCAAAGAATCAAAATTCAACTCACCTGTATTTGAGGGGAAACATCAAAGACTCCAGAGCCCTACAGGCATCACTGAGCCTCTGAAAACTTGCTGAGTGAAAGAGAACCTTATTTTCTGTAAGCACGGCACAGAATAAGCTGAGTACATTCTGGATACCTTAAAAAACAACAAAAAAACACCCCAAAATGTAACAATGTGCCAAAGGAATAATCAAAATTACATTAAAATGCACCATCTTCTGGAGGAATTTTCAAAAAGCATATGATAAATGCATAAATTGCCAAACCCCCAGGTTTTTCCACCTTTTATTTAACTAGTGCAGCTTCCTATTTTTCAGGTTGCTAAAACACTATCTGAATGCATTTCAACATTTAAAATATATTGTATTATATCTCCCTTTCAATATCACTTTCAAGGATTTCCTCTTCTCAGCACAAATCCTAGCAATGCTTAATAACGACGTCAAACAGTATTATGTGTATCTTCTGCATAGCCTTCTGTGTATCTAGGATTCAATTCTGGTCACTGATCCAGACTTAATTTCTAAACTTTTATGTATCTCCATGGGGAAAAAAAGAAAAATTATACTGCTGAGCTCAAAAGAAAGTGACAAAGAATTCCTAGTAAATACATTCATACTTTATCCATGGAGAGCATTCTAGGAGTCACAAGGTTAAAAAAGGGCAGTAAGAGCGTACATGTCATTAGAAGGATATGTTAAAGAAGAGCTGACTGTTTAAACAAGCCCCACTAGATTTAGGGTAAGACTCATGAATCGGATGATGTTTGGTGTTTGTTTTTTTTTTTTTTAAGATAATATTATTTTCCTAGGAGACAAAGCCACATGCTTTCAGGGAAAACCAAAAATACATTTCCTTTAAAACAAAGTCCCATCCTGAGCAGCAGACATGTCTGAGATATGTGAGATATGCCAAAATTTATGAAATTTCCTGAAATATGCTGGAATGTATGATGTTTCCCTGAGGACATAGTTTACGTTATCAGTAAGACAGCCTGTATTACCTTGACAAAACCACTACTTACAATAATCTTCCCAATAAGAAGTGTGACTGCAGAGGGTCACTATATTCATATGATAACTAACACTTCGTTTTGCTTAGGTAATTTTTATTACATGTTGGAGCGGAGCTTGGTTCATAAATATAAAGGGACAAGGATTTGGAGAGAGTTGTTGAGAAAAACACTTAATTCTTAGGATGAACAAGTCAAACAATAACGTAATAGCTTCTGCTTTCAAACTCCATTCTCCAAGACTCCTAAGGACAGACTCACGAAATCAAAGGCAGAGACCTGAGAAAACTGAAGGACAGAAGGCTTTGTAAAAATGCTGAGTAAGTTACTGCTGCAAATATTTGCTGTTGTTTTCAGTGGCATAATTAATATTGTGCTAGTACAAAACTAAGTGCTTTATAATACACAATGTAAGGATAGTGTTAAAGGAAAAAAATCGAACTAGTTTCCTCACTAGTTCACTAGAATGAAATAGCACTCATCAGTGAATGGTTAGAAGCTAACTTGAAATAGTGCCCTTTCTTGTCTATGTATGTACAACGGTACGCAAAGATTTGAACACAGTTAGAAACTGCTTCCTGTTAAAAAAAAAATCCCTAAGAATTTAGAAACTTGAACTGCCCTTTTTATGTAAAACTGCCCTTGTTCATTTCCCAGAAGATTTTAAAGATTGTTTTGGAGTACAGTTTTTGTTTTAAACTAAGCTTTTGTTTTCAAGTTAAGTGGACTTTTTACACTATTTCATTCCACACTAAATATCTTATTAAGACACTTAGGAATACATTTTTTAAATACTTGATGCTTTTTTCCTATAATCAGATACAAAAACTCTCAAACAATCCTTTATAAACTTATAAAGTTCTGGTAGGTATTACCGAGGAAAAAAATACCTAAAAGACTCACAAATATTCACAACATTCAGTACAACTAAATTCTCTAAAAACAAAACCCCTCTTGTGATCAAAGTATCTATAACTATAAATTCTTGAAAGAGATGGTTTTCCATTGTGCACAACTTAAAACTGCAACTTAGGCTGAGAGGTAACAGTTCTAAAATATTTTCTGGATGTTACTGACTTTAAACTGTGTTTTACAAAGAATTAAAGCATTCCTTTACTGAAAGTATTCAATTGAAATCAAGCTGTTTAAAAAAAAATAGCCCTTTTTTCTAGCTATATGATATTATCTAACTGTGGATCATAATGACTCAAGAGTCTAGAAGAAATATCTTCATTCTAATACCTTTAAAAGTCCTAAAACTTATCCAGTATCAGCATTTTTCACTTGAAATCTCTTCTGAATATAGGCTTCCCCATCAGACAGAAAAACAATACACAATTGTCAATCCTACATAATAACTGAGCACTTAAAAATGCAAAAATTTTACTAACAAAACACATGAAGTGGAAATCAAGATTTTGCTTATGTACAAGGAGGACCTGCAAGTACTTCATAGTATTTGAACACTGGCCTTCTAAAAAGAAGACGTGCATAAAACACTGACTTTCTAGTGTTGATACTTGCCTATGAAGCCAGAACAAAACATTACAGTTACATTGATTTTATTTTTTTTTATTCTATTAAAAAACTGAGAACACATTGGCTGTAAAGCATGAGATCACACAGTCTCCTAGGGACTACTAAAATGATACACTATTGTACAGTTAATATAGGCAATCTTCATGCTCATATACAATGTTAACCTGTATGTCTGTTTGATTGTTATCTTTATCCCTGTAAGGAACAGATTTTGGTAAGTGTCTCCAATTTACAGAAAATTTTGGATGTCTAGTCAGTGTAATTTTTTTTTTCTTCCTGATTTTTCTTGATAGTTTGAGAACTCAACTTCATGTAGACTGTTAGAAGACAGGTCAAAACTCAACACCAAAGTTTCACTGAAGTTCACCTTCTCTACCTGATAAGAGTATGTTCTTGGTAACTAGAAAAATGAGGCCTTCATTTCTGTAAAACTCAGGGGGAAAAAAAAGTACAACAGGTTTGTCATCTGAGCTAACTACAGTAAGCCTGGAGTTCACAAGTTCTATCTTCCTCCCAAGGTTTTACTGGAGGACAAAGGGACTATACTCAAAAGGCAACACTTACTGGAATAAAAAGAAGGGAAAAAAAGAAGAAATAAACCAACACTTTTTTTCAGTTTAAACTATTAGGCAGTGATGATACAGTTTGTGAGGCTTTCATAGTTTCACTAGGGAAATTAGTCTGGTTTTGAGGCATATTAGTGGCTGCAGATAAAGCTTCAGTTTGTACTCCACAAAGGCATTTCTCATTGTAGCTTAATCAGCACCAATATGATTTGATGTTTAAGGTGAATATTTTTAGCAACTATCTTTCATGTATAAACCTGACGCCACGTAGAAGAATATTTACTGCAAATATGTTTTTATTACATTCCGCTAGTTGGTCTCTCAGATGTTCACTACATTTTAACTGGCCATGAAAGACGAACTTGAAATGTTTGCTGTGGCACGAATACACTAGATGTATCCCCAGCTTTGCTGAGTTAGATAAAACCATTGCTTTATTTGCAGAACTTATGGAAGTGACCAAAATTGAGAGCATCTGAATACAACTCTCCCACAAACCAGCAGGCCTTGTAACGAACAGCAGGGAAAAAAACAGTAAGGACAAAAGGAAATATCCAACCTTCTCTGTGAGTTTGAACAGAGATGAATGAAAGCCACCACCAAAGCAAGGAGACAGGCTGGCAGGGGCAAGGAAAGCTCACTGGCCAACTGCTCACATATCAAAAGGGAAAAGAAGCATTGTCTCCTCAGTCTGGCAACCCCTGTCACATGCCCAAGTTAGCAGGTCCTTGGAAAAAGCAGTTAAAAACTGCTGCGAACTGTGTACATTACTGCCGTGCAATCTATCGTTGGCTAAAATCCCTGCACAAGGGAACACCTCAGCAGAGCAGCATAGAGCCAAGTGCAGGACGCAGATCTCCTGCACACCCTGTCTGCCCATCCAGGCTAAGTCCAAACACTTACAAGTAACCCATGTGGGAAACGTGAGATAGTTACCTAATGTCAGTTATGTACCTGACATAACTTTATAGCCGTTCTTAACTTCAAGCTGCACCTGGAATTTTCAATGGATTGAATCTCCATCTAAAAGTTATTTCTAAATTCTCTCCACCATTTTCTGTGTTCCAAATGCATAAAAAGCAGAAAGTCACCTCACCAAAACCTGGCCACATTTCAGTAGAAACAGGAAAAAAAGAGACTAGCAATCTTGTGTGCTTGCATTTGAAAACAAAGTTATTTTCATTTCTGCAAGGTACCTACAATACCAATAAACATACCAGAATGAGAGTACTTGATTTGTCCTGTGTAATCAGAGTTCATATAAAAATGCATAAATAACTTACAAGAAATAACAATACAATACAAAAAAACCCAACAAAACCCAAACCAAAACAAAAAACCAACCAACAAACCCAAACAAGAAATAACCACGGTAATTTCTTTAGGTACCTTTCACAAAAGTCAGTTTAAAGTGAGAACCTCACTGGCTCTTACCCTTTTCTTTCCTGGATGAAAGCTTCACAGCCTAAGAAATACTAAATTTATACCTAAGGAGAGGTTCTGAAGTTTTGAGGTGTTTTGTTTTGGGGCTTTTTTTCATAATAGCAGTGCTCTTCCATTGAGAAGCTAATCACCAATATTGACTCAGTTTGGAAATGCACTTGGACAGTGAAACCCAGGTTAACCACTTCCACTGACTGAAAAACTTGTACAGCCCAGATAGCTTCTTTGGTACAACTTGTTTCCTTTCTCTCCCTCGGTGTTTTGTGGTTTGTTTGTTGTTTTTTTTTAATACTGTGTACAATACAGAAGAATATAAAATAAATAAAATCAAGTGTACAATATAGACATCTATTCTGGAATTTTCTTATTTTCAAGACAATAGCTACTAACTCAATACAAAATTATTGCTCCACATGTACTCTGAAATACATGTTTTCAGGAATATTAGCAATATAATGACTGTGAAGGAAATTTTCATCTGATAGCATCAAACAAACTGTAAATAGTAAGACTTTTGATTACTTTCCTTTTTTAAACTATTTAAACTATTGATTAAATTATTTGACCAAGCCACCA